TGCGCAGACCGGGCTCTGGCGCGTGGTGTGGGTGCTTGCTGGAGGGGACGGGCTGCGGTGTGGAGCGGGCGGTGGGATGGGTGCCCTCCTGCTGCTGGGCTGGGGAGCAGGGCAGGGGTTTTGTGCGCTGTCTCCGTACCTCCCAGGAGCAATTTGGCATCAGGCAGGCCCAGAATCTCCCAGGAAGGAGAACTGGGAGCGGTAGAGATCTCCCTCTTCCAGCTGCTGGAAGCAGCTGCCCTTCAAGGGACTGTGCCTGCATTTGCTGGGTGCCTCACGATCCCAGCACCCTCTGGGAAAGCATGACCACCCCTGTGCTGCGGACAGGGACACTGAGGCACACACTTTGCCCAAAGCCTGAATAGCCATCCAGCTCCATTCCTTTGCTCTACTGCCTCCTGGTGAAAGCTTATTTTCTCCCCACAGCAGCAGGACTCCCAGCTCCCAGACTACCCTGCCCTTCTCTCTCATTTTTGTAATTTGTTCTCGTGAATAAAATAGCAATGTGTTTCTCTTTCCATGACTGTGCCCCTTGTGTGAGCAGTGGAGTGGGCTGGGATGGTGCCCGGGCCCTGTTTCTCCTGGGGGTGACACAGAACAGATAGTCTGAGAAAGGCTGGCAGAGGCACGTTTACCTCCCCGGCAAGTGGCTGCTTGGGATTCCCAGCTCCACGGTGAAGGGGCTGGGCAGGATGTGACCTCTGCTGAGCGTGAAGGGACTAAGTGTCCCTCTGTCCATGCCAGAGTACTTGAGGGGCCAAGCATGTGCCCAGAAGCTCAGAATAAAGGCAAGGAGCTGGGATACTGCAAGGTGACCTGGAGCTGAAGTGTCGCATGAACAGTTCTAGTATAGGGATATTACAGGCTATGGAGCCAGCTGGCTTAGGACCTGACACTGTCCTTAAAATACTGTTTAGCCCCTTGCTAAAGGCAGAGCCTCATTCTCAGTGCAGGTGGACCCAGCAGCTGGGCTTTCCGTGGTGAGCCCCTGTGGTATGCCAGGATCCACTGCACAGGATCCACTGCACAGGCTGGGCTGGTGCTTTCAAGGAGCTAGCGCTGGGGTGCAATGGCTGTCACTGTGCTACTGCTGCCATCCAGAGCTGGGGTGAGGGCCTGGTTCGTGGTCTGGCTAGGCATTTATGTGCATCCCCCTGCTAACTTCTCTTGACTGCTATATTGAGGCCTCTATCAGATCTTTGGGAAGCTTGTTTGCATGCAGCGTGCAGGCTGGCACACTTTCTTCCTCCTTGGTTTCAGCCATTTCTTCCAGCATCGTCAGACCGTTCCTACCACTTAAAGCGTTATCCTGATGGGGGCACAGCCCCATAAAGATAGAGCACAGCCCCATATCTCATATTAACTGGTCCTTCCTCCATCCAGCAAAATCATCAGGCTTCAGTCACAGTTGAAGAAGGCGATGGGAATAAAAATCAGGCCCAAAACCTCTGTGTTTTCTAGAGTGAGGAACAGGAGAGGAAAGGGAAAGAAAGGAGGTGGGCGGGCTGATAGGTCTCTTCACTGCGTCTAGCTGTAATTCTCACACCTGAGGGGGGGAGTCAAAAGTAGCTATTCACATCCCCTTGGGATATGACACCCTCATTTTCCATGCTGGGTAAAAACAAAAACCCTTTACAACATGTTTCTGGAATTTGTCAGCGACTGCCAGCAGCAGCATGTTAATTAAATGTCGGCAAAGATGGAAGCAAGAGGCTCTGCTCTAATTGGACACTTTGCTTGGTGGAGCTGAAAAACATTGTGACAGAGGAGGAGGCGCCGAAACACTGTGTTCCCCCGCCACGGCGAGGGGACAGCCAGGCAGGAGATGCTCTGTTCTGAACCAGGGTCTGTCTCTGTTTGACCTGAGACAACCTCACTAGTATGAAAAAAAAAAAAGACTAATAGAAAAGGCCTGCCAGTCCTTCATAGCAATGGTCTCCAACACAGTGGCGTGGGATAAATGGAAAGGAAAAACTCAAGGGCTTGTTGTCTGTGGGGAAATTCAGCTAAGTCTCTATTTAAAAGGTGCATCCTTGTTCCTGGACCAGGTCGCCTCTTCACCCAAGCTCCTTGGTGTCCCTTTACCCGCCAGTTTAGCATCCCTAAATAACAGGCCTAGTCTGCTAGACCTACAGATCTCCCCATCCTCATGCCAGACATTGAGGCTGCAGTCTGTAACTCAAGAGGCTGTTGCCAGGCTAATTTCACTCCCAAGAAAATACCTTCTTAGCCCCTAAAAATCTCTGCAACTGAGTGACCCCCTCCCTCACCTGCTCCCTGCATGCCCCCTTCACAGGCAGGGAGGGCACCTGCCTCCTGCAGTACTGAAGATGCGCTGGCTGAACCTGCCCGCATCCAGATTTCTATGACCTTTCCGTTTTCCTGCTGCCCAGGTGGGTTTTTCGTCCACCTGGCTCACCTGGGACAGCCCTATCCATCCTGTACATGGGTCATCTGAAACTCTAGCCCTCTTGTCAGATGACGACATATTGTCTTGGACTCTTATGCCATTCTGATGGCAAAGTGGGGTCCTATAGGAGTTGGAAATGGTCTCTGGAGAATGATCACTGCAGAGATTGAGCATATGTGGAGCTGCACTCTTTTCCCAGTGTGGAGATGAGAAAATGAAGGGCAATTCCTGATTTCCATGTGCTGGGATGTGCTGGAGGAAAGAGGTTTCCTCTCAGCCTGTTTCCACCAGGGAAAGGATGTAACAGCCATTTTCGGCCCACAACTTCATCCACCGAGTCAGTCAGAAATCATCACAGGAGTGATATATTGACAGCGCTGTAAACAATCCCATTTTTAAAAGGGAGTCCTAAACTTTGTGTCCCAAATCTGCAAAACCACTTGAAAGCAGGAACGGACCTCTTAGGCACTGCATTCCTTGCTGTGTGACCACGGCCAGTGCCCCACTGACCCCCTCCTTGAAGGAGCTTTTGGGCATGTCCCCAAAGTGCTGGCATCCGGCAGCCTTGCAGCTTGCCCTGCTGGGACAGCAGCCCGTTGCCCCACATGGCATGGGGAGGCTGTGTCCATCCCTCGTGGCCTCTGCTCTCTCTTCCCAGCAGTTTGCAAGGGCTGCGGAGGGCAGTGACCAAAAAGGTCAAATGAGCCTCATTGCTTTAATGAGGCTGCCAGCCCGCGCCTCCGTCGGGGCAGCGCGCTGCGTGCAGCAGGCGCCAGGAGACCGTCCTGCCCTGTGTGCGCGTGTCCGGCAGAAGGAGCTCGGGCCCCACTCCCTGTTTGCTCCGCTCTCCCCAGTCCTTCAGGCTCTGCCTCCTCCTCATGGGAAGACACCTAAATTGCCCAGACTCCTGGGCAGTGAAGCATTTTATTGCCCATGCTCTTCCAGGACTCAGCACAGTCTCAGTAACTAAATCACTCTCTGGGGCTGGCCTTGCAGTTTTAATTCCCTGGCAAACAGTGCTGAGGTCGGGCTAGTGCGTTTGAAGTGCGGTCACGGCCCCAGCAGTGGACAGAGGGTTTCTCAACAGGGGATCGCGGAGAGCGGAGGATTGGCCTGCTCTGGAAAGATGTATGAGAAAGGAGCTGTTGATATCCTCAGGGATTAGGTGGTACAAATTGGCTGGGAAGCACCGGAGGCTTTGACCAAAGCTGTCCCGGGGCAGGTTCCCATGGGGGGGTTGGCTGAAACAACCAGCCTTCAAGTCAGCTGGAAAGCCCAGCCTTGCTGCTAATCCCCTGGGGTCTATGGAGCACAGAGTAGAAAAGAGGTTTAAAAAAATCTCATGTAAAGATGGTGGCTTCCCCAAGCGGATGATGTTAGAGAGAGCACGAAGGGTGAAGGGGGTGGGTGGGGAACAGCACCGCTTAATCCTGCTTTTAATAGGCAGGCAGGTGGGCTTAGATCATGCTCCTGCTCCTGAAAGCTGCTGCAAGGCTCACCAGGGACAGCCTTTGCTCGGCTCTGCCATCCCCCCACTCCTAATGGGGTCCCTGTGCCTCTACAGAGGG